ACGATTGACCGTACGAGGATGAACACCAGTAAGTTCAGAGATCTGTGATGTAGACTTGCCAACAGAAGGTGACTTTAACGCCACAATTAAGGTGCGGGTGTAAGGATCAGTATTAGGAGACATTGTAACGATAGATACAGACAAATCGTACAGCTACTCAGCTCAAAGGTGGGAGTTGCGCCAAGAAGAGTTATGCCGAAGCGCCGAGATTAGCGTGGGACAAAACTTTTGTGAGGCACCTCCGTAGACAAACACGAGAATATACCGTTTGGAAGCAGGAAGGTTTTGCGATCTTAGCTGAGCTGGTCAGCGCTCATAGACATCACGATGCAAAATCTGCCCGCCATGAAGATGGCACGATTACGGTAGAGCTTTTATGAAAATACCGGTACATGCTGAGTCTCGAAGAATTAGTCATGATGCATCTCAGCTGGCCTTGAGGAAGTGGCGTGACTGAGGCGTTGTTCTGGCAGAGACACCGCTACCAAGCTTGATCCATGTTACCTTTTTTGGGAATACTCAACATACTCCTAATTTAGCTCCTGGATTACGCAAGCGAGGCTTGAGCGGGATTGCAATGCCATGATAGGGATGATAGGGGAAGATTATGCCTGGAGAGAAACAGCCTGGGGCTGACCCTGGTTAATATGTCCGTGCAACCACGTGGCCGATCGCAAGTTCAACGTCAGGCTTTTTCAGGTCATAAAATGAAAAGGGCGATGGGATGTGGTATCCTGATACAGACAGATACTTTCTGCCTTGGGGCACAATGCAAAACAACTCTAGCATACACATTCCCCCAAAGGGACACATTTCTCCGAATTGGCCAGCAGAACGACTACAGCTTAGCCTTGGTCTGTTTCTGCTTGAGCATGGCTTCGGCGACAAGACGTCGTTGTATCTTGCCGGTCGCGGTCTTGGGCCTAGAGGTGGACGGTCAGTGCTTGTTTCAGCTGCAATGTCAACGGTTACATACATAATGTCCGTGAAGAAAATCTGCAAGTCGTTAGTCCATCTTTCGCGACATCCATGTTGACTGTATATTGACATACCTCCTTTGGCAGCTTGAACTTGGCAACACGGTCCGCCAGCCACACCTTCAGGTCTCCTGCTGTGAGCGACTGGCCCTCTTTAACCACGATTGCGAGGCCGATATCCTGGCCGTACATTTCATCTTCAACTGCGAAGCTCACAGCTTCCGACACGGCGGGGTTCTGCGCGATAACATTATCGAGTTCGATAGGGCTAATCTTCTCACCCCCCTTGTTGATCAACTCTTTGATACGGCCGGTAATGAATACATAGCCCTCGGCGTCTTGCTTGCCTTGATCACCTGTGCGGAAGAAGCCATTCTGGGTGAAGGACGAAGCATTGGCAGTAGGGTTGTTAATGTAGCCTTTGGTAACGTTTTCGCCTCGGATACAGATTTCTGCTTCCTTGCCCTGCGCTACCTCGTTGCCAGCATCGTCGAGAATCTTGATTTCTACTCCCTGGCCAATACCCACACTACCGGGCTTGCGCTGGCCTGGTGGAAGGGGGTTGCTAGTCATCTGATGCGCGGCTTCAGTCATGGCGTAAGCCTCAAGCACAGGTGCGTTCAGTGCCTTTTCAAGTTCGTGGAACGTCTTTGGGGAAAGCGGGCTAGAGCACGACCGAATGAAGCGGATCTTGGGCAGAGGGCTAGGAAGAGGGCTCTTCAACAAGATCTGGTGAATGGTGGGAACGGCGGTGTACCAATTTGCCTTGTGCTCTTGGAAGTCCTTCCAGAACTCAGAAGCAGAAAACTTGGGCGGCACAACGACAGAGCCGCCAGACGCCAACGGGGCAAGGAATCCGGCAAGAAGGCCATGCACGTGGAAGAGAGGCATAACCAGCATCGTCCGGTCCTCGGGCGTTAATTGGTAGGTAGCCTGGATGTTCTTCATGGTGCGCAGGAGGTTGCGATGTGTCAGTGGTACAGCCTTGGGCCGTCCAGTGGTACCGCTGGTGTGTAGGACCAGCGCGACATCATCAGGCTGGGCGGTCAGGACGGGCGCAGTTTTACCTGCGAGTTTGCCAGTCTCCTTGACGTCCAGGACAACCTCCTTGCCATTGTAGTAGCACTCGGCAATGGCCGCATTGTATTTCCTCGCTGCTCGGACAGCTGCCGCGTCTTGCGCAAACGCGCCTTTGGGGACCAGCGCGATGGCCGAGCTCAGGTCGTCGATGTAGAATTCGAACTCGGACTGCTTGTACGCTGGGTTCAAAGGGGCAGCAATGGCCCTCTGCCACGACGCAGCGATAAATGATACGATGAACTCGTATGTGTTGGGCAGCGCAATGGATACAGCTGCCTCGGCGGATACGCCGACTTTGGCGAGTTGCTGCTGGAAAGCCTTCACATCGGCGGCAAGCTTCTTGTACGAGACTGTCAAGGCCGGGCTACCGGGCACGATGACGGCGGTTGACGACGAGTCCTTGGAGAAGGCGTGTTCCAAGGTGGTTGGAGACATGGCGATTGCGCAAGATAAAGATCTGAGCACGCGATTAGAGATGGATCAATGGCAGGTGTTATGGGATGGTACCGAGATGTCGAAATGGCGCGCAAAGCAAGTGTCTGTGGATGAGATGGGATATCAGCACCGGAGCCTGCCCGGAGGTGTCTATAATAATAATATTAGTAGTGCTTTGCAAGTGAGCGTTATCGGAAATATGGAATCAGGAGCATGGCACCGCGGCATGGAAGGAAGCGTTCCTGCATGCGTACGTAATGCGGCTAACGACTTAGCGTGGGGAGCCATCGCCGACACCCGCGCCGCATGTGGGCGGCTGCCGACGACGAGCCTCTCCACCTCGACTCTCCTCACCCGAACATCGCATCCTCGGCAACACCGTCGACCTCTCTCTCACCACCCGCCGGCGCCTCGCAGTCGCGATATCATTACTACTCTATTTCTTGCAGACCATCAGCCCCGCCCACCGCGCCCACCGCGCCGTGCAAGGCCGCACCTGCGCGCATATCAATACCACCACCACCATGGCATCCCAGCAGTCGCCCAAGGCACCGGGCCTGCCCAATCCATACGCCCAGCGGGGCCTTCCCAATCCTTATGCCTCGGCCACCATCTCTGCCGCGCCTGTCAAATACACAGAGGAACAGGCCAAGGCTGAGCAGCAGAAGAAAGCACCTGGTAGCTACTTGAACTGCTCCACACCTTTGCCTTGACGCACGACTCATGTAAATGTGCAGCTTTCCATAATCCACACAACATCAAGCGCCCCCAGGCCAAGAACCAGGCCAAGAAGCCCGGCCCAACCGTCAAGAAGCCCATCATGCCTACACTTCTTCCGGTATCTGCCTCAGGCTCTGGACCCGCCACCCACACCCAACAGCATGGTATCGACTACTACCGCAGTACTGCAGACGACGATGCCGCCATCCTTGAAGAACGCCGGATGCGCAACTATGAGGAGAAGCAGAGGAAGAAGGAGCAGAAAAAGTTCAACAAGATGTTTGGCCAGTGGAACCCACAGGCGCCTCACAAGCCCGAGCGATACTCCAACCTGCGAGCCTACAGGGCTAGCGGTGGCTACCAGCGCAAGAAGGAGGGCTTCAATGCATTCTTGCGAGCTGCCGCCCAGCAAAGGCCCCGCGATGAGAGCGAACCCTTGAATGGCTCCCGCTCTGTTTCTTCGTCTAGCTCGATTCCAGCTGCGCGCAGCACGAAGCCATCGTTTGCCCCGCCAGCCTCCTATGACGACAGCCCCCCTGTTCCGCCCTCTGACCAGTCTGGAGAAGATGTCTATGCTCGCCGCATGCGCCTATCGCAGCAACAGCCAAACAATGCGCCATCTCCATCTGAACATGAGCCTTTGCGCGCATACCCGCCACCCCCTCCTTCCGCTGTAGACGACCACGCTCCTTCTCCCCCACCCCCGCCGCCAGCTGCTTCTATGTCAACGTCTTCGGGTTACCAGGGCGCAACCATCTCAGCTCCTCCGATACGGTATGCGAACGCGACAATCTCAGCACCGCCAATCCGTTACGAGCGTCCCGATATCCCAATGGAAGATGCAGACGACGAGCCAGCGCAGGAAGAACGGCCCTCGAAACGTCCAAAGCTCAGCAAGGCAGAAGCAATGATGGCCAAGATGGGCTACAAAAAGGGCCAGGGTCTCGGAAAGAACAACGACGGAGTCGTCACACACCTGGAAGTCAAGATGCGCAAGGTCCCACAAGGAGCAAGTACTCTGGACGACGAAGGCGGCAAAGTCAAATCACAGCAAGTGTGGGATGTCCGTGGTGGCACGCGCAATCAAAAGGACGAGCCTGGCAAGTTTGGCGAAGAGTCGACTGTGGTGGTCACTTGGGGTTGCGTAGACGGAGTCGACTGGGACGCCAATGCCGATCGCAACGACGGCGGTATCCGCCAGGACATGGGTGAAGCATTCAGCAACAAGGTAAGCGACTTGTATTGTCAATCGATCGTGGACGCCTTGTGTACTAACACCATGTAGTTTGGCCCAGTCGAGCATGTACAGCTCGACGAGAGCAACAAAGACGGTGTCGTCTACATCCACTTCCAATCCGTGCTTAGCGCCCTCAACGCCGTCAACCGCTTCGACGAAGGCTGGGAGTTTAGAGGTAGGAAGATTCGTGCAAAGTACTACGACGAACGCAAGTTTCACGCTGGCATCTATGATTATTAGGTCTCTTGTTCACTTCTTCTATCTTTCCAAGTAGGTGACAAGTATCGGGGCATTTTAACGTTTTCATTCTTATCCCAACGAGTTCGTAGTCTCCTCCTCTTTTTTTTCTTATCTCCTTCTTTTCTTTGGAGATGGTCCTGGAATGGCCTTTGGAATTGAATAGTATATAAACTTGGCCTGGAAAGCTCATACACTTGCAGACTAAGTGTAACATGGGAAATGGGGAAATGAGAAATCTAGCTTCTATGTGTCTGACACTACGTGCATATATATTTTTTGGCGTGGCTAGGAGTTGCTGGTACATGTATGTTAGACATGGTAGATATAGTAGGCATAGTGGAGAGAGAGAGATACAGGGGGAGAGAGAGCGGAGGAGGCAGTTAGAATACAACATATCCTAACATATCCCATTTTTCCACATGATAATCTGCACCGAGGAAGAATAAACATGTACAGCACTGCTATATCTACACCATGTATCCCACATCTCTGCACCACTGGTCAAGTCCCACTCGCCATGAACATCAACACCATCTATCTTCCTTGCTAGTATACGAGAAGACTACCTTTTGCAAGATTTTATAGTCTTGCTGAATTTACTACTACTACTACTACTACTACTACTACTATTACTTGTTGCGTGAGTACTCAAGAGAACAAGATCTAGGGTATATAATAGGACATAGCTGAGTGCCATTTTCTAGTGTATACCCACGCCTATGCCTACGCCTACGCCTACGCCACCCTAACTAACTAACTAACTGCTGCTGCTGCTGCTGCTCTCTGGAGTTCGCCACGTTTAGCATACATCACAGGTACAGGTACAGGTACAGGTACAGGTACAGATGCAGGTGTATGAGCAAATAAGCCTTGCAGAATAGAAGAAAGAAAGAAAAAAAAGAAGGAGAAAAAAAATCTCAAACTCATACCGGTCATCTAGGGGGGGTTGGGGGAGAGGAATACAGGAAAATCAAAGGAAGAAGAAAAAGGTGGGAACAAGGAAAGAAAAGGAAGAAGGAGAAGAAGGGAAAGAAAAACTTAAACCGTCTATCACCCCTTTCCCTCCTCCTACAATAATCATACAAAAAGGTAAATACACACATGGCCTGTTGGGGGCCCCCGCGCCGCCACAGCCAACAACCCATGCAATGCGTGCGCCCGACTCCCTGGGGGTATATATTGTTGTCGTTGTTTTTATCCTTTCTTTCACTACGCAATGTCTTTTTTTTGTTTCTTGCTCATTTTCTAGGCATTTCCCGGTTTCTCGTCCGTGTCAATGTGCCATACGACATAGTTTGGCAGTCCATAGACACCGTAGCCCGCTCGCAATGCCATTTTGGCAAAGCCTTCGGTTTCGGCTTGGTTCTCAAAGGCGTAGCAGGGAAAGTTGATTCCCGACCGGTGCACATCTGCTTTTACGATGATGTTGACTCCACCAATGCCGTCGAGAGGCATCTCCTCGTCCTTGTCGGCGCGCCAGTCGCCGAGTTTGGCCATGTAACGGCGGTTGGTAGGGTATTGCTTGTAGCCTGAATCGAGTCAGTAGGACGTGGCGAGAAAAGCCAAGAGAAACATACCTTCGGCAAGGACGACGTCCTTGTCCAGAGAAGCTGCGAGTTTGAGACCTTGGGGAGATTCTTGCCAGGAGTTGTAGTCGACTATTTCTTATTAGTACGAGCCAATCTGGCATAACAGGCCGGGGACTCACATCGTCCTTCAATATCAACCATCTTGCCGTTTTCTTCCTTGTATCTGTGAAACCATACATCTGCACGTAATTAGAACCACGAAATCTAACCCTCGGCGACAATATACTTACTGGGGACGAGGATGTCGCGATCGTGCGCCACAAAGTCCTCAATAATCTTTGCCGGACTGTCGACAATGTCCACATCCCTCCAGTAGACCCAGCTGTGGTCTGGCTTCAGGGCAGCCGAGAGGAGATAATTTCTCGCCTTACCCAGGGCTTTCCTTCGCGGACCCTGAGCCTCAAAGCCATGCCTGTCCTCGACGCTTTGCGAGAGCGTAACACCAAAGTCCTTTTCGACAATCATGGTTGACCTGAAGGCTATTTCAGGGTTGTTCTGTATCCTCTCCAGCTCCTTTGCCAGTGTTGCCACTGTATCGTCTGTCGTGTCGCCCACGAGGAATGCCAGGTCGATCAGCTCATGCGGGTATGTCAGTTGGGCGAGAAGATCAAAGTGTTTCGGTAGGTAAAAGGCAGCATCGCGAAGTGGGGTAAGGATCAAGACGCGCTCTTTGTTCTTGACTGCGTCGACAGTCGACTTGATTGGGTTGAGGTCAATGTGCTGGATGTGCGTGGCATTGACCTCGATTGGTTTGTGGTGGTTGAATATGACGGGCGTCGTCAGGTGTGCGTGCCAGTCTTCGTGCTCGTTTGCCGTCATATGCATGGGTGGTTTGGAGGGGCCGAAGCAGTAGAACCTGAGATAAGGGCATTAGCGACTGATGGAGGACTCTGCGTGTCTCTCGTGGCCGCAGTCAATGGCCACGGTGGGATAGATGACATACCTCTGCAGCTCGCCCGTGGCAGAGCCCATGGACCGCCATAGCAAGATAACAGCAGCCAGGAGGCCAACAGACAGCAGGAACTTGGGGTTGCGCGCCGTGTGGACAAGGTGGCGCGATGGCGGCAGCTTTGCCTGGGCAGCCTTCCACGAGTATCCTTTGCCGGCCAGCATGGTGAGCGGGGACCTGGCCGGGGGCTCCTTATCCACGTCCTCGCCTCTCGCCTGGGACAGCCGTATCGAGGAGCTGCGCGCTCTCACCGAGTCCTTGTTGCTAGTTTCCCTCTGCGAGTGACGCGGCGGCGAGTAGGATTGCTCCAGTTTGGCGGTTGGGGGCGCCTGGGGCGCGAGGGTCGGGGCAGGACGACTATTTGTATGGTGCTGGTGACGTTGCAGGATGTCGGGTCCGTGTGGGCGAGCGAGGGGGAAGCGACAGGACACGGCCAAGAAGCTCGCAGGTTCTGGAACGTTGCTTGCGGCAGACGGGCAGATGAGGCAAGGGCGCGATAGGCGACGTGGTGTTGCGAGCCGAGTGCAGGTCCAAGTCCAAGTCCAAGTCGCAGTCGCAGTCGCAGTGCAACCACCATTTTGCTTTGATTGCAGGCACTGGCACCGGCACCATGTGCTGCAGCAGCGAAATGACGCTAGCTGCAGATCTGTTGCGATAGGGCCACTGATGACGACGCTCTGCAAACAGATAGCACGACGCTACTTGCCCGTTGTTTCGCGTCCCATGCGCTGCCTTTGTCGTGCGCGCTGCCAGAGCAGAGAGATGCTCCCACGACAGCGCCCAGCCATGAGGCCACTACCACCGTCTCTGCGCGCACAAACGTCATGTCGCCAACCCTAGTCGGCGCTGACGGCTAACGGCCGCCGCTCTAGTGCCGCCGTGGCTGGCGGGCGAGTTAGGGCAGAGAGAACGAGTTCCTGCGTCGTGGCCCCCGGCGTGCTAAATGCTGACTCTGGCCCGAAGATTGACACGTGCATGTGCGAACTATACAGCTATCGACAGTCGGATGTGCAAGCCTGGAGCCCGCAAAAGCAAAAAGCAAAAGGCGCCCACCCCCGGATAACAGCGACCCGGCACTTGGGCATCCCGCAACACACTAGCAGCTGCTGTCCAGCACGTGACCCTGTCTTTGTTCTGGCAGCTGGGGCGGGACCCTAAAAATACTTGACAGGATATGACAGCCATTATCGACCCAGATCCAAGCACATGCACGCCTCCATGTGGCCGAGTGAACGAGTCAGCCAGACTGCCGCAGTCCTGGCCCGTGTGTGTGTGTGTGTGTGCATACGTATGTTGGTAATGCGCAATCTGCCAGCCTGTGGGTGCATCCATGGCTCCACACCACCACGTCCATTACGCATACACATGTCATCACGCACGTCGACAGAGGACATTCAGGACAAATGAAACAGATGAATGAAGAGAATGACTGCATGAACTATCCCAAATCAACTCCCCGCCCTGCAAAGCTTCTCCTCCGCGGCGCCGGCAGACTTAGTTATACTGCGGATTAAAAGTCTACCTCAACCCTCCCAGCCAAGTGATACATACAATTGTTACATGCTGAACCATCAAACTTCTCTACAAGCCCTCCCACTCCTCCGTAGCGCAACTCGGGCGTCAAACCCGCGTTCGCTTGATGCTATACGCTATCAAAAAAAGACACAGATCGTGGGGGGTAGTCTATGCGGTTACGGGAAACGCCAGCGTCATAAACCTTTTTAGAACAGCACAACAGCAGCCATGGCGGCAAGTCCGAGAGCACCGTTGACGGCGCTGACCTTGGGCGCAGCGCCCTTCTTGTCACCGCCGCTGCCGCTGCCGCTCTGCTGAGTGCCCTGGTGTCCTTGCTGGCCGGGGTCGATGAGGGTACCCTCGCACTTGAAGTTCTTGCTCTGGATGAGCTTCTTGTCGTGCAGGTTCTTGTAGAAGTTGCAAGTGTTGTTGAGCTGGCCAGAAGATTGCAGGTTGAAAGCACCCTTGACGTTGTTGAGCTGGGGAGTAGCAACCCTGTAGCCAGTTAGCAAACTTGTCCGAGAATCCCATCCACTATACACTTACTCGGTGAAGTTACCGCTCATGTCGAAAGCGCCGCCGATGCTCTTGAGCTGAGGGAGACCGTCCAACTCGATCAGCTTCGAGTTGTTGGCAACCTGGAGGTTACCCGAGATCTTGGTAAGCTGGGGGAAAGAAACGTTCTTGAGCTGGTCGTTGGCGACAATGGCAACAGCCTCGCCGACAGACGTCAGGTTGGGGGCGGCAAACGTGTCGAAGCCGTTGTTGTAGAGACCAAGAGAGCCGTTCAAAGTGGCGAGCGAGGGGACCGAGACGGAGCCGCAGAAGCGGAAAGTCAGGTTGCTAGCCCAGATGAGGTTGGGCAACTGGACCTTGACGGCCTCGTTGTTGTCGGCCAGCGTCAGCGAAGTCGAAACGTTGCCAAGCTGCATGGCAATCTCATCAATGTAACCGTTGTTGGCAATGAAAATCTCGTCAGCCTGCTCAATGTTGATACCCTTGAGCGAGCGAAGAGCCGTGTTCTGGATGTCGACGGTCGACGCCTTGGTCACCTCGGACGTGAAGCCAATCTCCTGGAGGTTGGGGAGCGCCTGCCACTTGATCGAGTCGATCGTCTTGAGCTTGGGGAAGTTCAGGGCGTAGAGCGAGGTGAGGCCGTTGAGGTCCATGGTTCCGTCGAGCGTCTCCAGGTCGCTGGCGCTGATTTGCTTCATCTGGCTGTTGGCGTTGGCCACCAGGTTGCCCGTGATCTTCTTGATACCAGCAAACGAAATGTCGTCCGTGGTGCCCGTGGCAATGGCAATGTTGCCCGAGAAGGTCGAGCAGCTGGCCAGGGCAGTGGCATCGCCGGCGTTCTGGATCGTCGTGGTTGCGGAAACCGTGCAGGCAGCTGGAGCATGTTTGGTTAGCAGGCGTGGGCGCAATCACACGGCGGCGAGAGCAGACATACCGTAGGCCGAGCTGGCGGCGAAGAGAGCCGGGGCGGCAATCCTGAGCATGGAAGGCATTTTTGGGGAGTCTAATCGAAGCAGGAGGGTAACTGGCGGTACATGTAAGTTGACGCGTCGACTGAGGCAGGCGGTGGAGCCTGTGTCTTGGGCTGCGACACGAACCTGGGATGGTAAGACTGCTCGCGCCGTTTCAGTTGGGTGGGCGGGGTGGCGGTGGTGGTGGTGGTTGGTGTTTTGGTGGGCGGGCAACGGGAGCGTGAGCGAGAGGAAGAATTAACTAGAAAAGCAGGCAGTATTAAATGGAGTAGTTCCCAGTGGCGCGATGCAAGAAAGCGCGGCCGTCAAGAGCGAGCGAGCGTGGATGGAAGACAACGGGAAAGAGAAGAGCAGGAGCGTGTTAACGAGCGCGAGCATGGAGAAAAGGGGAGCGAGCCGTGGCAGGCGTGGCAGGCGCGGCCGGCGCTAGGGGCGGCGCTAGTGTTTTCGGCCGTCGATCATTGGCGGCCAGAGCGCGGCGCCGCATCATTGATGCTCTCACGCTCACGCTCGCAGTGGCTGTCAATGCCGCGCCCGGGCCTCTGCCTTGCTCTCTGACGCTGTCTGCGCTGCTCCCCAACGCCGACCTGCGCCGTTGCTCGCCCTTTCCTGCATCCTTTGCGCCTGAGGGCGGCCGGCCTGCCTGCCTGTCTGCCCGTCCCTCAGTCCGCCCCTCAGTCAGTCCCTCCCCCCATCGCTCCCTCTCCACCACTAACACCTCCCCCCCATGCACGCAAATCCTGCTTGCACCCAGCCCACCAGGGGCGTCGGTCCCAATTTCGTCGTCTGCACGGCCGCCGTGCCATGGCGAGCGGCAATCCATTCACCATTGTGCTTAGCCTAGCCCGCCCGCCAGACCATGGACGCGCTGCCGTTGCTGCTCACCACGCGCTCCTCCCACGCCCAAGAAGCAGCGCCGCGCTCTCGACTGCCAGCTCCGCGACACAGCGACCCAACGGCAGCCAGAGCCGTCTTTGCCACGCTCATGCACACCAACGCGAAACACAACAAGCAACCACCCACTACGCGGGCGGCTTTGGCTGGCCTGGCCCCCCCTGCCGTCCGCGCCGAGCAACTCCCCCGATCGCTCCAATGCGGTTACATCCGACCCCCATCCGGCTAGCCCGCCCGTTGCAATCTCCATCCTTCCTCAACATCAACGCTGACAGCAAAAACAATGCATGCTGCTATTATCTACCTCCACGCCCGCCTCGCCGCTTCGGGCCAGCCTGCTGCTCTGCGCCATTGTGCCCGTCCTCGCCTGCTTTCCTGCCTCCCCCCCCCACTCCAGCTGCAGCGTCGACGCTTGCAGCCTCATCGCGCTCCCTCGGGTGTTCACGCTGCTCCCCATTGCATCCGCTCGCTTATCGATCCCCCTCCCCCGAGGAATGGCCTCGCCGGCTCCCGCCAAGCACATTATTGGACCCGCTCGGATTCTTGTCTCATTTCCCATGCCAGGCCCCGTCGCTCGTCCTCAGCCCACTCTCCCTCAGCTTCGTATCCTGCGCCCGTGTCTGAAACAGTACACTTTATGACACTGTCGGTGACGGAATCTTGTTTTGACGTCCGACGCCTTCTAGAATCGCCAAGCCGTCTACCAAGCTCTCGAGCCGCCCTTGCCCAGTGGACCGGCGTTGCTTTTTGCCCCGACATCGAATTTCTTCTGTTTCAACAGCCTGCTTGTTACCGCAGCGCTCCGCACATTCCGCCAGCATGAATCGACCACTGAGCAATTCTTTATGAGCCGGCAATCAAGATGCTCAAGTTGGCTTCATAGATAACCGGCGGGCGTCTGCAGCGTGCTCCTCTTGGCGCTGGCAATGCTTTGTCCTGCTTGGCTTCTCTCCGTCGTTTGCACTACATATTGCTTCCCCAACTGGCCGCGCGGCCCTCCTCACATCGGGAAAATGACGCTGCCACTGCTGCAGCCCCGTTAATGTCCAAGGTGGCTCGACGGGAAATAGCCGTAGGCTTGCAGGCTGCAAGCGTCCGCAAAAGGGATCAACGTCATGCTTTTTTGCTTTCCTGTTTTCTTTTTGGCTGGGCCCAACAGTGGGAATGCGCGTGCCATGTAAAAGAGCCCGCCTTCCCAAGCAACAGCAGCACTGTGCCTATCCTACCTGCCTAACCACGCGGCTATCTGCTAGTCAAGTACACTAGCTGGTCCAACACCATTTTGGTTGGCTATCGTGTGTTGTACAAGACCTACTCAACCTGTTCTCAACAGGCTATGTATGCGGCTTCAGCCGCTTATCCTGGTCCCGTGGCGCCTCACTACACGAACACGCAATGCTTTCTCCTCGCCCTCTCGCGCACCATTCATTCGACTCGAGACTGCCTTAGCCGAGATTTTCGTTTGCGCTCAACATTTCCTAAAACCGTCTTTTCCCATCAGCCCCTAACCCCTGTACGAGCCAAGGCTCCACATTACCACATAGACTTTCCAACAAAGTCTTGCGAATAAGTAGACGACGTGGGCTAGCAGAGAGGCAGGGGAACTAGACCCAAGGCTACACGTGCACAGCCCCGATTTCTCCTGGCAACAGCTCCCGCAACATCATTATGCACACATGATCGATTCCATGATTTTCTCAGTTTCCCTTTTTTTTCCACTTGGCAACAAGTCTACGGCCAACAAAGTTTAGAACAGACGCCAGCTAGGAGCAAAGTCTTTGCACATGGTCGCCGCTCGTTGCTCACGTCATCTAGGCCAGCTTTTGACATATGCTTAGACCCTCCGACTTTCCAAATTCTATCGCAATTTCGCGGCAGATGTATCCTCGTGCGAGCTGTCAGTCTAGACCATCAGCTCGTCAGTGGCTGTGTTGACGCCGACTTGACAATGACCACACTAGCTGTACCGGAGTAAATCCGCTTATCCGCGTATCCCGTGTATACGAGAATGGCCCGATCCGATTGCTACATATACAACCATGTTGATTCGGCAAGTACAAGCGCTGATGTAAGGCGTCGTCGGAGAAGAAAGGAAAGAAGAAGAAAAAAAAGTCTATCGATAAACACTCCCCCTGCTCCACATGTTTGGTGGAACATTGGCATCATCTCCACGCCAAGTCGACAGATCCTTCCCATGTCGACGAGGCCAAGCTTTGCTGGAAACAAAAACATCCTGGTTCTACGGTGTGTTTCCCTGGTCACCATAGATGTGGATGTAGAGGGAAGATCATGTTGCGCAATCCGTCCCAGTCCTCGGCAGACACGGCCTCTGCTGACCCACTCACACTTGACATGAGCAAATGCACATCCCAAACTCTCCACAAAACACCGCACGACCCATGGTTTTACACGCACACACATACACCCGCGTACCTGGATGAGGGCAGCACACATGGACCACATGTTTCACCGTGGACAGGAAATATGGAGAAGGAGGAAACCAAAACCGTTGTCGTGGTGCCAGTACTCTTGTTGTGGTATCTTGTCTGATGATCTACATACATGACATGCACTGGATGCATGGTAACAAAAGCCATCATTACTTTTCCAGGACGCTGATGTCAACATCGCAGAGAAGCCACATGTACCACATGAAGAGGGATCTGCACGAGCAAACGTGTTAGTTTCTTGTGATAAACAGTTGGTTGGCTGCTGTACGAGAAATGATAGGTAACAAACAGAAAAGCCTACGTACCTGTAAGGCGAGAATCTAGCAGCTATGGTAAGCATTTCCTGCTCCGTCATATACCTGCATTGCCTGTGTCAGTGTCATGGCACTGGTACATCAAGAGAGTTGTGTAATGGAATTGATACGCACTTCCACTTTCCGCCCTTGTTTTTGAGTTTATTCACGTCGCGGCCTGCGTAAATGGCCATGCCGCGCCTAGCACATCACGTCAGTATCCGTGAAGAGGGAAACAACGAAAAAAAAAATTAGATAAAACCGTAAGCAGGGCGAAAAGAAAAGGGGTATTCATTCCTCGGCTGCGGAAGCAACAACAAGAGAGACCAAAAATGGGGAAGAAGAAGAAACAAAACTTACTGCACGCCCAGATCGCCCGTGCTAAACACATCCATCCTCTTGAGCCCGAAACATGCAAACATTTCTACACTCCATCGCCCCAGGCCCCGGACTGCAACCAGCTTCTCAATCAGCTCCTCGTCGCTGGCATTGACGAGCATTTCCGCAGAGAGGTCGCCCGCCGCGAATTTCTCCGCAAGCCCGTAGATATACTCTGCTTTGCGCTGCGAGAGGCCCGCCGTGCGCAGCGTCGGAAGCGACATGTCGAGGACCTGAGCGGGACTGGGGAACTCTGGGTGCGTCGACGGAAACAGCGCTGTGAATTTTGCGCGGATGGATGCAGCTGCTTGGCCTGATACCTGTTTCCAGTCATCGCTGCATTAACCATCATCATCTACGCACATTCTTTCTTTTTTCTAGCTCTGCTGGAAAAAAAAACGTATCCAGGCATGTTTCACTTTACGTGGGTTTTTGTATGAAGAACATGACTGGTAACAAAGAAGAAGAAAAGAGAAAAGAGGAAAAGACATACCTGCTGTCCAATGATGCCCGTACTCAACCTCGTAAACGGATCCACGACTTCGCGCAGCCCCTCGGGGCTAAACATCTTGCACTGGTGCTTCTCGACGAGCGGTTTCAGGGCTGGGTCCACGCTCACGAGATGGGCTTCCGCGTCCTTGAGCAGCCGGTCAATGTCCGTGGTTGGACTGGGGATGGCGCCCACGTCCGGGGCAACTGGGTCCTTGGCTTTGCGCTTCCGAGCGGGAGTTGCGTCTGGCGGCTTGACGGTAGGAGAGCCATAGGCTTCGATGGTGTGCGAGCCGTTGGGCGTCGCGAGCGGTGCGTTGGTGGCGTGGGGCTCCGCGGGGCGCGGCGCCTGCTTGGAGAGCATCTTGTCCGAGGGGTCTGGGAGGGGCGAGCCTGTGTTTTCTTTGGATACAAGTCCAACGGCTGGAGGCGTGGCTGGCGGTGGGTTTCCAGCTGGTTTTGCTGTTGATTTTGATTTACGTTTCTTGGGTGCTGGCGTGGTGGCGGTATTAGATGGAGGCGTGATATCTGAATTCGACTGTTCTAAATGCTCTCCAGTATCCGTGGTGACTATGGTGTTCTTGGTTGGATCCTGTGGTGGTTGCGATTCAGGCGCTGCTTTGGAAGCCTTGCGCTTCTTTGCCGGCGCCTTGGATTTGCTGGCTTTTCCATTCTCTGTAACGCCATTTTGCCCATTTACACCCGGTGCTGCTGGCGCAGTGCTGCTTGCAACGCGTGCCGAACGTCTCAGAGACATGGTTTGTGGCTTGTATACGTTCCAGCGTATGCTGCTTGTCGTGAACAGAACCTGACGTCACGCGGTTAGTGCACACAGTTGGGTCCAGGGGGACGAACGTACTGTATGCTTCAGCGCCTGTCCTGGCGTGAGATATCTAAACAGCATCAACTAAGTTCCGTGGGTCTGGTATGAACAAAGAAAAAAAAAAGTGGTGAGCTTGACGCGCTGCGCGACAGGGACGCTTTCTTGACTTCAGTTGGGCTGACGCCTGAGCACATGATCGCGTGGCGCTGACGAATACGGGTCTTGAAACGTATTGCAGTGCATTACTCGTACTTATCTTGAGAGGATCGACACTCATCCTTCTGTCGCTTCTAGCACTAGTATCAGTATGTTTGTTGAGTTTTTTGCTGACAAATCAGCAGATAGATGTGCGAGGCAACAATCGCCGTGCTCCAAGTCCAGGTGCTGTGGTTGAGAAACTCGCAATGCTGCCTGTGCTCGCTTGCGAATCCTAACCTGCGGCAATGGTTTCTTTTGGGAATGCCAAGATGGGGTTATGTGGGGATTCAGGCGGAATATTAAATGTACTGTTAGAAGGCAGGCATGTATGCTGCCTGTTCATAGAGGCAAATGCTGTCCATGAACCACTCCGTTGCCGAGTCCCTAACACATTGAAAAGACATCTTCCAATTTTCGCATTTAATACTGGACATGTAATGAAGTCCGGATACGCTTCAGTCGTCTCTCGTCTGCAGTCTACGATGCGTTTCCCTGCAGTTGCGCCGCGCTAAAGTCGCCACTCAGAACCTGTGTGAACTCTCTTTGTTTGTGATCGGTTGGAACGCTCCTGGGTAACAGAAACTACCCCGACACTAGTTGAGAGATGCTTCGCAGATATTGCATACTCTCCGCTGAAATCAGCTCTCGCGGTCCATGTGCCACAAATCCTGCACTGCATACTGCACACTTGTGACATCATATCAAACATTCCAATGCGCCAAGAACGAAGCAAAGGGGAACGATTGTCCGAATGCAATGGAGATGATTCCTGTACAAAAGACATTGGTATGGTACACTCTATTGCGCGACCCCAAACTCACTCCGCCCCACTCAAAAGGGTCATGCCAGACCCGTGTACATACACTTAGTGGCCAGCAGCGTTCTTCTGCCTCTTCTGGACAATCATGGTCTCAAAGTCCTCACGCTCAGCCATCTCGGCCTCGATATCGGTAATCAGCTGGCTGAGGTATGGTGTGTCCTGTGGATCGTCAGCGTCCGGTGTTTCTGGTTCCAGTGGCGTCCTTACGTCCTCGGGCTTGGTCCACTCCTCCTTGGGCAGAAGGCTGTGGGACATGGAGAGCTGCCACTCGTTAGCCACGCAATGTCCAATCCTCTTGTACTACCGGGCTCAAAGTACCTGGAAGGCTCGGCGGAGACGGAAGACACGGTCGTAGGCCTCCTGGGGACGAAGACGCTTGAGGGCGGTCTGGACGGTGTCGTTCTCCTCGGGGAGCAGGTCATCGGCCCTGTGCAGCAGTTTCCGTCAGCCCATCATTCCAGAGCCAGCAGCATTTCCCCGCAGATCCTCCCATCCGTCGGCGGCACAGCGTCTTCGCATCGGGGCTCCGTACCTCAGGCCGAGCTGCCTGTAGCCCGCGGCATTGCAGTACCAGTTGGAGAGGGGCTTCATCCAGCGCTGCAGCCACGGGCGCTTCATGATGTAGGGGGCGAGAGACGGCGCAGACATGGTTGCGGGCGTTGGACGGCGGATCGGGGGCGTCGAGATGCGGAGCTGCCGTCAATTGCAGTTTTGACAGTCGGAGGTGGTGAGGTCGTAATGCGAAAGAAACGAAAGCCAATAGGCTGGCCTTGGCCCGGCGGCGGGCCTCTCGCCTTGGTTATGTAAGCAGCAGCCGCCGTCCCCACCCGCCAGGCTAACTTGGCTCGTTCTCGAAGAGCTCTGACGTCGGGATCCGGGAACCAAGCTTTGCACCACCACCACCAACACCACTTTCACCACCACACAGCGCCAGCAGACTGCCGCCCCGCGCCGCAGCCAGCGCCTCCCACAGCAGCCGGTGCACTCGCCTCGTCTTGCAGCCCCTCCAGCGACGCCTCTGCACCTCGTCCGCTCGTCAATGGAGCCGAACAATCGCTAGTTATCGTGTTACTCAAGTGCTGCGGGGTTTCCGCACACTGAGGCACCGCAAAGGGGACGACGGCCTGTACGCACCGCACCCGCCTCTTCCCGCACGCAGAGCGCCTGGCTCTAATGACTCGACGCCTACAGTGCCCCAGATGTCGACACACGATCCCGAGCCGCCGTCCCCGACTGAAGTTCACGACCGGTATGCGCCGTCGGCGCTTTCCGTCGAACCGCGCGACATGTCGATACCCACCAAGCAGCGGGCCTGGAGTTCGCCCATTGCGAGCCTAGCTGTCCGAATTGCAAATCTTCCCGATGGCTCCGTCAACGCGCTGTGCGGGGCCTCCGCGGGCGTCGCTTCCGGCATCGTGACCTGCCCGCTTGATGTCATCAAGACGCGGCTGCAGGCGCAGGGCTCGTTTCGCCCACGAAAGTATACGGGCCCGCCGCGTACCGTGTACAAAGGCCTCGGCGGCACCGCGCGCATCATCTGGCTCGAGGATGGCATCCGCGGCCTGTACAGAGGCCTGGGGCCCATGCTGCTTGGCTACATTCCTACGTGGGCCGTCTACATGAGCACATACGACTCAACCAAGAATCTCCTCTATCCGCAGATGGGTCAGTAGCCGCCCCAGTATTGCCAACTCGTGTTGCTAATCAAGCTCGGCCTCCAGAAAACAAATGGCTCGCACGAACCATTGCCTCATTGGTCGCTGGTGGTTGCTCGACCCTGGTCACCAACCCCATTTGGGTAGTCAAGACGAGATTGATGTCCCAAGTGAGCGCTCGCGCATCAGACGACCATCGCCCGCCATGGCACTACAAGAACACATTCGACGCCTTCCGCAAAATGTACGCCAAGGAAGGCATTCTATCCTTCTACTCTGGGCTGACGCCAGCGCTGCTTGGCCTCACACACGTCGCCATCCAATTCCCGCTCTACGAGTTTCTCAAGATGAAATTTACTGGCCTGGAAATGGGCCAGACAGACGCAAAGGTCGAAGACGTTCACTGGTTTGCGATTGCACTGGCCACTGTGCTGAGCAAAATGACGGCGACATCGGCGACATACCCACATGAAGTGCTGCGCACGCGGCTGCAAACGCAACAACGAGCGCTTCCCGATCACTCGGACAATCACGTCACGTTTCGAGGAGGACATCATGACCAGATTCACACACGCCCCCCAGGCACAGCTTCATCCGACGGTATGATTAACCTTCCTCGCTACCGTGGCATACTCCGCACGTGCAACGTCATCCTCCAAGAAGAAGGTTGGAGAGCCTTCTACAACGGAATGGGCACTAACATGGTTCGCGCCATCCCTGCAGCAGTTACTACGATGCTCACGTTCGAATCACTCAAGATTCTGCACCAGAAGCTTAAGAAGGAGGGCAAGAGAATAGAAGAAGAGGGCGAGTGATGGGCAGCAGGAGGATGTCTACCATGAATTTCTTACGGGTCGATCGGCATATTTACCGGGCGTTTAGTAACGGGTTAGGGGCGGAGATATCCCAGTGAGCATCCCTGTTCTGTTTGTTCGTTTGTCTGTATATACTACGCAACATATTCGGACATTGGCAGCATTGGCGCCTTTGGCGTTTACCGGACAACGTGGACGAAGGCAGTGTGGCTGTGCGAGTACAGAAGGTCTTGACGCCCAACTCGGGACTCGGTATCACATGCTACTAACAAGCGGTGCCCGTCGGCAAGGCGTGTTAAGCAAAGCATGCCAAGACAGCAGTCAGCATCGCAAACGCTGGCTTGGCCATTACGGATATTGCCGACGGGTCTGGATTGTGTGCGAACCGAGAACATGACGCGACGTCTGCGCAAGCCGGCAAACGAAATGGCCAATTGACCGCCCTTCCGAAAGTCTAACAAGGCCGCCCTCGTTAAACATGTTTCACGCTTAGTCGTTCAGTTGCTTTGTCGAGGCTGTCTTCCTTGCGAAAGTGCTGACGTTTTGGCCCTACCGCTGACGCTGACGCCCATGGACCGAAGAGAATGCTTCCGCAGAGCCGCCCGAGACGCCACCTCGCACAAGCGTAGTCATTTCCGTCATGTCTACTCCGCATCTCAGCAGAAGCTGTCAGCCATCATCTCAGACATCCCCACTATAACTACGAAGCCGTCATTTCCTGTATTGCAGACTTTACGTGATAGACTTGGTCGCCAGCTGCTGCCGGATACGCGACAGGGATCATGCAGGGGGCTTCTCCAGGGAAAGGAAACTTTAATCAATCATGACTTGAACAGCCGGAGAAGCCGTGGGCTCTCGAGCGTAGTCTCGCATAAGAGAATGACGGGTAGTGATGAAGGGGAGGAAGTTAGTTTTGGCGAGGCTGAGCTGGAATTAAGCTCCGTCGACGAGCTGCTAGAGCCATTGTCCCCAGCGCAATTGACAACACAATTGAATGCCCCCAATCTGGCCCCTGGACAATATTGTGAAGACCACAGCAGCCATTGTTGTGCACATGTCGGGGTCCTAGGGCGCGTCGCCACTCAACACGGAAGTCACGACGGCGCGGCAGGTACACCCCAAACAACCGGTTTGGGCCTCACCAACACCTCTTCACCATTACATCACTGCGCCAGCAACACCATGGATGCACAAGAATCACCCAGTCCTTCGTCCCCCGAGACCGACATTCCCGAGCGAAACAGCAGAGACTCTGGCCGCCCCTTCCCTTGCAGACATGGCGCTCTGTCTCTCTTTCCACCTGTGTCCTCATCGACCGGCAATCGCGAGTACACGTCGTCAACGAGTCCCACGATCCAGGCTGCTTGCCTGTTTTCTCCAATGAACAACGGGAGAGACACTTATGGAAATTTCCTCCCTTCAATCACGCGTAAACATTCCACTGCGTTGCCGCCCTCTTGTCGACCAACTACCCAGCCTACCAACAAGGAACGGTGCTTCTCTGTGACTGAGAGTGTATCGTCTGCAGGACGCACACATGGTGATGGCCAGAACAACCTCAGGTCTTTTGGGAAAACAGCTGGCACTCAGGTGTCCAGTCAAGGACCGGCCCGGATTCCTCTGCAACAAGCTCTCAACCACGAGGATGTTGCGCCAGGTGTACCCATGGTCACTCATGCAGGACGGCCAGGTAGTCGATCTCTGCCTAGTATACGCCCACAATCTTCTGCAGCCGCTTCTCCAACAAACCCGAGAGAAACTAAAAAAACACTGGATGGACCTTTCACTGCGGATACCAGACGAAACGAGGCAGGTGGCTCTGATCAGTGCCTGGAAATACCAGTATCAATTTTTTCCACCATCTCAGCTGGTACGGCAGGAGTAAAACCCATCGCTTCTCAAGGACTGGGATTGATTTTTCAGCATGATTGCGAGGTGCAATGTGCAGAAAATCAGCAGCAACTCCACGGGGTGACGGATGATGGATTTGAAGAAGACACCAAATCCAGGCAAACATCACAGAGGCAGAACCACGACCAAAGTACTGCCATGTGTGTAGATGGTGGTGCGGATGCATATAGACGCAGTGAGCGGAAGCCTAGGGTAGTCCCGGACCTGCAGTCTACCCAAAGCTCGTCTGATGCATCGCAATATATACCTCCGTGTGGCGCCACCCCAGATCGGTACCCACAGAAAGTGAAGCACGGTCGTAAATCGATTGGCCGTCCTTCTGTCGAGTCGGCATCGGCATCTATCCCGTCATCCGGTTTCAGAAAAGGCTGCCAATCCTTTCACACTGCCCTGTCAAAGGCAGGAAGGTTGTCGCGCTCCCTCCTCGCCACAACGCCCGGGAATACATGCAAGAGAGGCTCGAAGCAACATCTGCCAGACGGGTTCAAGAAGCATGCGCGACCAAAGACTGGTCTGGGCGCTGACAGTAATGGCTGGCCGCGTCCATATCCAACGGATGCAGGAGAGATGTTTTCGGCAGGGTTTCGGGCAAGTAAAGATGACTACAACGATGAACCAAAGAAAGCAAAGAGCCTGGCTGAAGAAACACGTGCTTTCGAGACGGCATTACGTGGACGTTCAGCATCAGACTTGCTCCCGATAAGTCGTACAGGCGCATCAGCAGTCAACATTGGCACTATTAAGCCCGATTCGGCAATTTCGACAGAGCCTTCACATGCGAGGTATCCCAGAGGTGGATCATATGCGCGCCCTCCATTTCCTGAGGTGACAATGCGCGCCGTCCAAGGCGCTTCTTTCTCCATTACCACCACGTTGAACCAGCTGCCAGTAGGTGCATCTGGTAGGCTCCTGACAACATTTCCTGAATATCCCGACCGCAACGGATTTGTGTACGTACCACGTGACGACGACGACGACGACGACGTTCTATCTATAGACTCATACCTGGAGTATCTATATCGCTTGCAAGAAAACGAGTCGCTGGAATTCGACTCGGCTGATGAAACAAAAGACATGCAGCACTATTATGATGTGATGGATGTAGCCCAGCAAGATGACACGGAGGCTCTGCTACCATCACTTCGGTCCGACGCTGAGAGCATTGGCCTGACAACTAATTACCATGCTCTCAACACGGAAACCATCATGGAATCTGCATCGCCTGCCACTACGACGACCGCCGCTTCGTCGCTATACTCGCGCCAAAGTCTCGACAGCAGCATTGCACATGAAGCTCTTCTTGTCGCTGCCTCGCCAGTATCCCAGCACGGCACTTGGTTTTGCTCGTCTGTGGAGGATTTGCGATCGCGCTTCAATGCTGACTTTATGGAGGAGAAGGCGGTGGACAGAAGGGCGGGTCCGAAGAAGAGCAGGCGAGAGGAGTATCGGGCCAGGCAGTTGAGGCTCATGCGTTCGTGCGGGTAGATTTCGTCCGAAGGATGGTGAGTTTGTTTGTGTCGAGTTGTTTTTGTGTGAGTGATCTGACTGCTTTTCTTTTCTTTTTCATCTTCTACTCTTTCTTTACTTCTCTTTTCTTTTTTTTCTTTTACGTTCTCCTTTTTTTCGTTATTTTCGTATGAATGCGACCAAGGGTCTTGTGGTGGAACGAGGCAAGAAGCAGACGAAGAAATAGGACATGGCTGGTTCTGTCAGAGACCCATGTATATAACTCTGGGCACTTGGTGTACTCTGGATTCTTTTTTCTTCTTCTGTATGTATGGTCAATGGTTGTCTGGGAGGTGGAAGGTATTGACATTCTGCATGTATGTACGTATGTTTGCATGTATGTGAATGTAAATTCTCGGCAGGCTGGTCTCCTGTATGAAGCAACACACACAATACATCTTTTTTTTGATTTAGGAACACCAAAAAACAAGGATAAAGGCAATGTATGGAAGTATGCCGTGGTTCTAATGTTACGTTTGATATACATGTGTGGTGGAGAGCTATCGTAAAAAAACCGACCGCTACGATCCAGTAAGGCTGAGATACAAGATACAAAGCCCGTCCAAATAATACAAAACCCCCTGTGAAAGAAAACTGTTGTACAATAACGCCTTTCTCGATGCCCTGCGTAAACAGAAAAAACACGTACTGAAAAGAAAGAGAGAAAATAGATACGGTATAGCTTTATAAGGGGAGTGTAGAGGAATGCGCAGACAGAACAAAACGAGGAAATTGGAAAAAACAACAACAACAACAACAACAACAACAACAACAACAAAAAAACAGAGATATAGAAAGAGACCAAACAAACAGCGAGCCAATTGCTCTTGACCAATCCTCGTTGGAAACTTCAGTAATCACAATGATCATACTCATGCAACGAGCCCATACCCGCGGCAACAAGCACACACTCGACGGCCTCAGTGCGATCCCAAAAGTACTCGCGCATCCACTCGGCGACCATGTGGAGCGCCGAGACGGGGGAATTGCTACTCCAGACCTTGCCGTGGCGGGTCCAAGCGGCGTACAGCCAGTGGGTGTGGGGATAGCAGCGCTGCAGGACGGGTAGCAGGGAGCGCGGGGCGGCGGCGCGGGTGCCGTGCAGACTGCCTGCTTGGACGAGGTAAGCGATTCCGGAGCTGATGCTCATGATGGCGAGGAGAGATGGGTTGAGGCATTGCGTGGTTAGGAAGGTGGAGGCCGAGGCGGGGAGCGAGGGGCTGGACGACGAGGAGAAGGTGCCGGGGATGAGGATGAGGTCGAATTGGGGGGCGTTGGCGAAGGAGTTCTGCATGGAGAAGGAGTTAGTTATATTGGGGGGTTTTTTTGGTTGAGGGACGGGTATGGAGGAGGGGAGATAGGGAGGGAAGGAAATGCTCGTGTTAACCTTTATCTCTTCCCTTCGCTAGACTGTCCGAGATGGCTACTTTTTTTTGAAGACATAGAGGAAGCATGTTAAAGCTAAGTAGCCAAGACTAGGGCGAATCCAGCGTGGCCAGAAAGTTGGCTTTTTTTTCCTGGCCAGGAGAAGAGGATGGGCTCTGTGTGTATGGGAGGAGGATGGAGAGGGATGAACATCACGTCTATCCATGTGCGTTGAATATATGGAGCAAATTCGAACTTCTAGCTCACCGTCACCGGCATCCGCGAGCCAGCCGTAACGGGGAAACTGCCCTCCCCCGTCTCACTGACATAGCGAATATCGATTTCGTCCACGGCGTGGTCCAGAGCAGCAGCCGTGGGATTCAGCTTGGCGATTCTGTTTTTGCTGACCATGGCGACGAGGTCGATGGCGGCCAGGTCGAGCAGTTGGACTTGGACGTTGCCGAAGATGATGACGCCGACGCGGAGTGAGGCTCGAGAGGGAGGCGCATCGTAGTGTATGTTGAGGTTTTCGCTGGACGTCGAGGCCGTGGTGCAGAAGTAGAAGAGGTCCGCTTGGCTGGGAAAGGATACAGAGCTGGTTGATGGAGACGCCATTTGGGAAGTAGAAAAGAATATGCTCGGTGTGACAGATGGATAGATAGATGGTCTTGAACTAGGACTTGACGTGAATCCTCGCCTGATGTTGCGGCCTCAGGACGCGTTTTATACAAGGCAAGGCCCGTCAGCCATGTTGCATCACTGACTCCTCGGTAGCGTCATATGGTTGCGCTATACGGAGAATGCGCATGGAGGAATTGCAATGCGGCTCAGCCCCCTGGACCGCTCGCTGACTTTCCGGCTACTTAGGGCGCGCCGCTCGCCAACCGAGAGTCCCCGATCTTGGCCGTTGCATCATGTCGTCGGATGTGCCGTGGAGAAAAGTATATGGAACTTGCTTGAATACGACTTGTTTAGCCTATTTCTGAGTAAGTATCCTGCGTGTTTTGCGATACATGTTGCGTATTGTGGTTGCCTGTCGTTCCGTCGTTATACTGCCATCCACGTAAGTAGGTGTATTAGGCACCGACATTGGCAGTCATGGCAATGGGAGTAGCAGTAACAGCGTCAAATTGTAGGCAGCCAGTTTAGGACGGCAAGGCGGCTCAAACCTTGGTTAGACGGTGGCTGAGATGAGAAGCTTCAAGGGAAGAGTCGGACTTGGGTGCAGTGGACGCGCCAGATTCTGCGCGTCAGGTGTCGTGGGACATGGGCGAGTCAACGGCGACCCGGCTTCACCTCGTGCCATGTGACCTCAGCGCGCAGTGTGGTCGATCGCCGAGACGCCGGTGGGGGCTCGACGACGATTATAAATAGCTGGTTTGCAATACGGTGAGGATGGATTCACAGCTGCATGCAGAATATAGGTCGAGGTCAATGCAAGGTAGGGTAGATGATGCAGTGCGGGTATCCTTTATTCAGCCGCCATATCTATACGCCGCCGCAGGTATAAGCATAGAGGGTTGCAGTAGCAGCAGCAAGAAACGTGCTCATCAACGCGACCGTATGTCGACCGCACAATGGCCAGAACAAGGAAACGAAACATGACAAGACAGAAGAAAACGACATTCCAGCAGCCATGGATGCGCCGGCCTAGATGTCCCTGGGCTCGCCGTCGGCCTCGCCCGACTTGACCGTCTTGCCCGTCTTCTTGATCTTCTCCAGGACCGTCTCGTAGTCGAGCGAGTCGGCAGCCGTGATTTCAGCTGTTTGGGTCTCGAGAGAGACGTTGTACGACTCGACACCTGGCGGCGGGTTAGACAGCGGTATACATATATGGCGCAATCGGCGGTGGGCAATGCGCCATGGGGGGGCACTGACCTTCGAGCTTCTTGAGGACACGCTCGATGGCGCCCGAGCAGCCGCCGCAGCTCATGGCAACGTTGAACTTGTATGTGTGGGTCATGTTGGCGGTGGTTGGTGGTTTGTTGTAGGTGAGGATGTGTGGCGGTGGTGGTGGTGGTGGTGGTGGGGGAGAATTGCGGTTGGATGCTGACTGCTGGAGGGGCGCGCGCCTGGTGGATTATATATATACACGTCCAGTACGGCTCGCTAGCGGACCAGGTGGGAAGGCAGAAAAGATGCGCAAGTTTCAAGATGGTGTTGTAATTCGGCGAGATTGCCATGGGCCTGACAGTCCCGCAGGTGGAACCCGCCGCGCTTCAGGCCGGAATGCTCTTGATGCTAGGAGCGCAGCCCGGACAGCCTAGTGGCGTGAAACATGCTCACGGAGAAGGTCCTGAGCCTCATTTGGCGCTGCTTAATTGCTCATGTCCGCGCCCAGAGAACACCGTGTCCCCACGATATACAAGTGCCCATCTCCATGGAGCTGGCGTCCATGGAGCCGGAGAGACGGGGGCTCAGGATGCAGCCCACCTGCACCTGCATCATGCGCCCACTGCACGCCCGCCTTTCCGCCGCCCGCCATGGCAGTGGATATGGTCGTCGTATATCATTCGGGCTGTGCTGGTCTTGTTCCTGGATGCTGCACCGAACCGGCCTCTCTCTCTCTGCTCTCTCTGCTCTCTCCCCCCCCACATTGGCTGCTTAGCGCGGGGCAGCGCTGCTCACACTCGCAGCCCGCATGTCGGCCCTTTGGCGCGCGCGGGCGGTGACGTCTTTGGCGGGAATGCGAAGCTCTGCCAGTCTCCCCTAACGCCAACAAAACATTTCTTTTGTTTCTCGCGCCATGGCATCGTGAGCTCCCCCCGCCCCTCCAACACACGCCCCCGCCCGTCTCGCCCGCTGACCAAATGGCCAGCAACATCCTCTTCCTGCCCTTCCGGCGCTCGCACTCGGTGAACCTGACCGACGCCATCAAGCAGTACATCTCGTCCAAGTATGACCAGCACCCCGACATGTTCTCCAAGGACCTCGAGACGATTGAGAGGCTCCGCTCCGTCGCCATCCACGCCCAGGAAGCCCACCCCAGCAACATCCCCAAGCTGCAGCAGTACGCCGCCCAGCTGATCTGGCTGAGCGGCAAGTTCCCCATCGACATTGGCGTCGAGTTCCCCTGGTATCCCGCCCTGGGCTACAACACGAGCCGCCCGGCATCGCGCAACAACGTCCGCTTCGAGCTCGCCAACATCGTCTTCAACCTCGCCGCCATGTACTCGCAGCTGGCCATGTCGTCCAACCGAAGCACCCCCGACGGGCTCAAGGCCGCCGCCAACAACTTTTGCCTGGCCGCCGGCGTCCTGTCCCACCTGCGAAACCACCTCCTGCCTGAGCTGCGCACAGAGCCGCCCGAAGACATGGACCTCATGACGCTCGAGTCCCTGGAGAAGCTCTTGCTGGCCCAGGCCCAGGAGTGCTTCTGGCAAAAGGCTGTCAAGGATGGGCTCAAGGATGCGACGATTGCGAAACTCGCCGCCCGCGTATCCGACCTCTACAACGAAGCGAGCGACGCAGGCATACAGTCGGACGCAATCAGCAGCGAGTGGATACACCATATGACGGCAAAGCACCATCACTTTGCCGCTGCCGCCCAGTACCGTGCTGCCTGCGACTCGCTGGAGAAGCGCAAGTATGGCGAAGAGGTTGCAAGGCTGCGTGACAGTCTGACGTGCGTCAACGAGGCGCTCAAGGAACAGCGCTACATCAACAAGGCCGTGCTCGCGGACCTCAACGGCCTCAAGAACCGCATTACAGAAGATCTCAAGCGTGCGGAAAAGGACAACGATATGATCTACCTGCTGCCAGTCCCGCCCAAGGCCGAGCTCAAGATACTCGACAGGGCAAACATGGTGGTGGCAAGAGTCCCAAAGGAGCTTGCCGAGTCCAACTCAATGCTGGGAGACCACGGCGAGCTCGGTCCGGCTCTCTTTTCCAAGCTGGTGCCCTACTCGGTGCATCTGGCAGCGAGCATCTATGTCGATCGCCGAGACAGAATGGTCAATGGGCAGATTGTCGAGCAGCTGGAGGCGCTGACGGACAAGGTGCACGAGGTGCTCCGCAGCTTGAACCTGCCGGGCTCGCTACAGGCTTTGGAGAAGCCATTGGGCCTCCCGCCGGGTCTTGTTGCTCACGCCGACGAGATACGCCAACAAGACGGCATCAACCGCCTGTTGCGTTCGATGGAAGACACCAAGAAGCTCATGTACACGGACCAAGCCATTTACCAGGAAGGCGTCGACATTTTGCGTTCGGAAGCAGCAGAGGACGAAAACGCCCGGCGCAAGTTTGGCACCCAGCAATGGACCCGGCCACCCGCAGAGCAAGCCGCGCCAAAACTCTATGCTCAGATTGGCGAGATTGACGGCTACTTCAGGGCTGCAACAAACAGTGACAACATTGTCAAGACGAAGCTAAGGGAAAACGAGTACTTTATCAAACTGCTCAGCGGGCCCGATGACGAACTGGAGAATTACGTCCCCAGTGGGCGGAGACCTGCAATTACCGGCGAAGTAGAACGCGAGGCTGGCAAGCTGCGCGGTAGCTTCAACGAGGTCAGCCGACTGGAGAGCCGGCGGCGGCGGAAGATTGAGGCTTTGAGGACAAAGGCGAAGCAAGATGACATAAGTAAGTATCCTCGCATCTGCTTGCTGACTGCGCCCTGACAAGAAACTAGACCCGGAGCTGCTGCGCGAAGCCGCTCGCTTAGAGCGGGAGTATCCCATGCAGACAATCGAGGCTGTACAGTTTGAAAGCTTGTTCGATAGGCGACTACAGATGTACGATGCTGACCTCGACATGGTGCAAGAAGAGGAGAGGGAGCAAGCCGAGGCCATCAAGCGGCTACAGGACGCAAACGCCGCCTTTTTGATGGCTCGTCGCGGAGACCAGTCCAACAAGAAGCGTGAGCAGGCGTTGCAAAGCTTGGAGAATGCCTACTTCAAGTACAAGGAAATCATCTCCAATCTCGATGTTGGGCGCAAGTTTTACAATGATCTTGCCAAGATTGTGAATCGGTTTAGGGACGAAGCTCGTACTTTTGCCTACAATCGCAAGTCCGAGGCATCGCATTTGGAAAGGTATGTTGGCCTGTCCATGGTCGACGGTATGTGCTGATTGAGAATAGCGACCTCACTACGCGAATGAGCTCACTCGGTCTTCAGCAAGCCGCGTCCAATTCACTCCAGAAGCAGAAACAGGCCGACGCGCAGGATCCACACTATGGTGCAAGTGCACATGCCGAAGAGCCCTTGGCTGCTCCAACACCCACCCGAGCAAGCATAGTACCGACTTCGGGTATGTGGACTCCAGAGGTTGGAATACGCTTTGGCGATACCCCCGCAGCCTCTGGCAACTCCCGATCCTCTGGCGGACCTCCACAAGACGGGAGATGGGATCCTGCACAAGGGGTGAAATTTGGTTAGATACACTTGGAGTAGCGCCAGCGCCAGTTTTATTTCTGTTGAAAGCATCGAAGCATCAAAGCATCGTTTTACATAGGATACCCATGGCACTCACGAATGAAAAGACATGATTTTGCAGCACATTTGATGAAACGTGTTTGAGTTTCCGTGGTCGATGGGGACAGATGCCCGTTGCATTCCGCGTGCCGAGCGGGAGCCCCCCAAGTATCTGAGACACGGCGTCATGAGCCCGTGATTTAGTTCTTGGTTTGCGTCTTGCATCATCGTCGTTGTGGCCCATTGTCTTGGTTGAGAAAGAAAGATATGCCGGGGGGCTAGACTACTCTAAACCAGAACCCCAGTAAGTAGATAAGAAAAAAAAAGTTGGAGTTGGCCTTAACCCACCCACGGCATTATTCTTCCTAACCCTACCCTACACCTACACATACACCTACACATACACATACACCTATCACTCAGCCGCTGGGGCTTTCCGCGCCCTGCCGCGTGTGCAGATGCACTGCTATTGCCCTGTTGTCCAGTCTTTGCCTCTGTTTGCACATGCACGTGCGACATGTGTAACAGACGTATGTATGGTATGGTATATCCATGTCGGCACTTTTGACCGAGAACAACAAGCTACGTATGTACAAGGCTTGTATGTATGCATGTATGCGTATGTGTGTGTGTGTGTGTGTGTATACTATTCTTATCTCTCTCTCTCTCTCTCTCTGTCCCCACATCTCAGTCTTCCCTATCTCTTACACTTGCACTTGTATGATGCCGATGCTGTTTTTCCTGCAAGGAGCAAAACCCCACGTCCAGTGTTTTTTTTTTACCCAAACGCGGTATAACCCAAAAAAACTATAGCACTAGTAAAGTACTGGGGGACTCGAAAATCTGCCTTGAGACGACATGTCGCAATGCAAAAGGGCTTGTTTTCTTGGCATTTTTCACTCGAGTATGCCTTGCGACGTACGTGTACGTACGTAAGTTTGATGTTGACATTGACCTTGACGTTGGGATAGTCGTCGTCGTCGTCGTACATAGCGTGGCGAGGCTGTGCTGCATACTGTATGCTGGCTAAGCTTGCCGGATCGGCGCTGTCTGGGTAAAGTAAAGCAGAAAGTTACCCAATCCGAGTCCCGTACATGTATGCATGTGGATGCGGATATGTGTGGTGGTGGCAAACGGGCGAGTCAGCGGCGTCACCGTGAGAAATATCCCCTCACCCTTGTTACACACGTACAGCAAAAAATTCAAAAGTTGTGCAATTGGGTGCCGACGATTTTACAAGGATAAAGTAACAAAAGGGCCTGTTTTTTTTGTGCACACATCCACATCGCCCATCGGCTTCTTGGCTTTTTTCTCACGCCGTGGCTTGGCTTTTCTTGGGGGGCGGCGGCATGATGAGCACGGCTTGGCGGGACGGGGGGGGGGCATGCGTTGATGGGCAGCTACTGGGACTTGGTAAAGTGTATGTTGTGTGCTGGTTTGTCTAGAGCGGGTTGCTGTACTGTGCAGCCGGCGGTATTCTCGGTGCTACAGCGTGTCATGCTGGTGTGTGAATGGGTGGATGAAGAGATATGGTGACGGCTTAAATGCGGGTGTGGCATGGGATGAGATGGATGGGGTTTGATTTGATTGGAGGTTGGGGCGGGAAAGATGTAGTTGATAGGTAGGTGCCAAGAGGGGGTAAATTGCTCTGTTTTGGGGGGATTAGTGGTCTTGTTGTTGATGTTAATTTCATTTAGACGGGATAGAGTGGGTTGAGATGCTGTTTTCTTATGTTTTCGAGTTGAGGTTTGCGGGTTGTAACGCTTGGTGTAGTGATGCATGTTGGTGTGTGATTTTGTTTTCAGTGCATGGAGAGTGGAGGTGGTGGTAAGCAGCGTGGATGATTGGCTCGTCTCAGACAGCTGATGCGAATGCTCTTAAGTTTTCTAATGCGATAACGCCTGTATGAGTATCTTGATAATGCAACAAAGACAATGGAGAAACTCTTATTGCTGCAAGTTTGGATGAATTGCTTGGGAATCTTCGAGTACCATGGTTGTTAGTGACGGGCGAATTCGAGTCTTTGGAAAATCGCACTCTGAAGTACTCGGAGGACCATGGTACCACGGTAAAAGGCAAGATATGTACGGCTGTCATGTATAAGATACTACCATCTCCATATGCTATACTCTTCAATATTCGCTTCTGTCTCGAACTGACTTGGTCACATCTACCTACGTCAGCCAACAACTTACGCCTGCGATTCGCAGTGCCGTCTTCCCAAGCCGAGGGCGTCCCTCTACGTACTCATATTACCACGTTTGAATCGGAAAGCAATGGAAGAACGTATCCCACTCTTTACACCTTACACCGGCGCCCACTTCCACCTTGCGAACCCAGTCAGAGTCGCCTGATCATGAACCGACATTTATACGGACTCAAACACGGCTGGCCTTGTCACATACTCAATCATGGGCTCCGGTAATGCGATGACTGGGGTAGATTCGAGGTTTCGGTATCCCAGCATACACGAATTTTCAATGACTAGCTTCTGGTACGGTCAATGATATCTATGAAGAATCTGCGAAGCGATTGCGTCCTATCCAAGAGCCTAGTTAAAATGTATGGCTACATAGTCTGTAGGCATCTTACTACTTCTTAAGCATATGCTGTTTCGCTCCTCTGCAGCTTCCTAAGCTTGCTAAGATAGGAGATAGCTTAGGCGAATTTCTAGTATATAGTCCTGCGTTTAGGTTGTGTACTATTTATCTAATAGGCTATAGCATTAAAATACACTAGCAGGCTGAACGCAGAAGGATACAATATTAATGTGTTAATCTATTGTGGGCTGAATGACTGTCGCTTACTATTTAGCTGGCAGTGGGGTACCATATCATCCCAAATCTGAGCAAAGAGCTCAAATCAGCGTATTCGTCAAACCACTGACCTGGGAGGATTAGAGATGAATGGCATGAGGCTGGCCGTATCGCAGAGAGTAGTGCTGGCCCATGGCGGAGATTTTGAACACAGTGCGCCGGTCATGTAATGCGTACTTTTTGCTGAGAGGCACCATTCCTTCACATGTCATGAGTTGAAGCTGAGATTAATTTCTATCGTGGAGCGGTTGACCAATGCAACGTGCAGGATTACATCTGACATGGGGCTGATGGGCAACGAATTACTTAGTCGTGGGCTAGATGGCTGATAAATTGCTCACTATGACTGGGGCACCCCTTTTCGAGTCGCATGATGCAGACAAATTAGTGCACCAAAGACTGCCCAAAACAGTGATTTTAAGGGATCGGTTGGCGAACAGACAGGAGACAACAAGATGACTCGCCAAGTGTGGTCTCCGCCGAGATTTACGCTTGTCTTCTAGGCAAGCACCTTGATTGTATAAGGCCGGGGGCTGTGTGAGGGAGGGAGGAAACACACAGTGAATCTCTTGCCAACGTCACATTTGGCGGTCCGGGTCAGCTCAGGGCCGCTTACCGTTGGTGCCGATACCGCTCAGCCTGTACTGGCTGGCGTGTGTTTTTGCATACACGCGCTCTCACGTTACTTGTTCGGACTGCTGCCACCGCGACTACTTACCACCACCATCGCCATCGCCATCATCACCGTCACCACCACCACGACGACCCTATCCAGGCCCCACCGTGCGACGGCAGCCAGAGCGACAACGCACCGCGCATCTCCTGGATCAAGGTTTCACGTCCTCCGCGACTGAAACAGAAAGTGACCAGGACAGTCAGCCGTGGGAATTCGCATCGCGGGGCTAATAATAGCCGACTAGACCGCTTGCAGCGCCTGCTCGTGGTGAGGTGGGCTGTGTCTGTGACTGACGACAACACTGCGCCTCCTTCACACTCACCAGCCCCAGCTGTCAAGCCAGTCGAGAAAGCATACTGCGTGTTCCTGGCGCCGGTCGGCCATTCAGCGTTCGTGCCTGTCTCTTGGAGCCTCCCATCTCTCCACGCGGGCCCAAGCGCGGCCTCCAGGGCTCCCTCCTCCACACTCGACCTATTGTTAGGACCACGCGAAGAGCTACATCATGGACGCCCACCAGCGCGGCCGCTCCCCCTCAGCCGGCCACCATGCGCATAAAGGCCACTCGCCCTCGCCCAGCCCCCAGGCCCATTTCCAGCACCAGCACAGCGCCGCCTTGGGCTTCGACGCCGCCCAGGACCCTTCTTCGTACGCCGTCACCAGCGCGGGGTTGAACAGCTCCCCCTTCCTCACCACCACCCAGGGCCAGCCCTTTGCCCAGCCGCTCTCCTTCTCCGACCACGGCTTCCTGCACGCCTCGCAGACCATCTCGCAGCACAACACGCCGCAATTTGGCCCCCAAGGCACCAACGGCCTCCCGCCCGACGCACTCGACCTCACCAACACGGCCAACCCCGACTTCAACAGCTTCTTCCAGCCCAACGACCCCTACCTGGGCCAGACGCTGGATCCCCATATACTCGACACGCAATCGCAGAGCCAGTCGGTCAACCCGTCTGATCTCATGCAGCAAATGGCCGCTACACCGCACAATGCGCCGACGCCCCCTCATCTCCTGCCCGGTATGAACAGCCACCACCAAACCCCGAGCCCGCATGCCTCGCCCAGCATGGCCGCGGGGCAGTACCGCAAGCCAGGACACTCGCGAAACGCGTCGCTGGACCCAAGCGCGGCCTACGGACAGACGTCCGAGTGGGGGCAGATGGCAGGTGCCAGCTTTGGCGGCCCCAGGTCGAGGGGAGGCAGTGACGCCGGCTATTCAGACGTCGCGTCTTCGGCGCACAACTCGCCCTACCTGCACCAGCACGACAGCTTCGACAATGACCAGCCCTCGCCGCTTCTGCACGCGCAGCACGACCCGCAGCTGTTCCAGGACCCCGTTCCTGGCTTTGACCGGTTCAACCTGAACAACAGCAATGCGCACCTGAGTGCAGCAAACAGCCCGCACATCTCGCCCCGTCTGCTGCCGCAGAACCAGCAGGCCCTTCCGCAGTTCCAGCCCGAGACGTTTGGCCTTAGCCAGAGCATGAACCCGTATGCGCCTCAGGGTGTGAATGGCTTTTCCGGCCAGAACTCGGAGCCGTTCCCATCCCTGAACCAGCCCATGCCAGAGTTTGGGCACCCGGATGCCATGTCGCCTCCGGAAATCAACATTGATTTCGCACCGCCCTCGCGACAGGCAAGCTTTGAGCCGCCCAAGCCTGAGCATCAACTCGACGCACTCAGTCCGCCAGACCGATGTAAGTATGCCAAGGGCACTCGACGAGCCATGCTAACAGCTGAACAGCCCGCAGTCGCAACAGGACTCGAGCAAAGTCTGATCCTTTTAGCAGTGTCAGCTCACGCACCTCGACCCCCGGATCGGATGTGCATCGATCACTGTCGCCCAATGCCGCAAAGTCCCGATCTCCTTCGCCCTCTGGCAAGTCGTCTCGCCGCTCGTCGACGTCAAGCGTGCCCAATCGCGACTACATCCTGGATCTGGCCGACCCCACGAGGCCCGCACCTGCCGACGGCTCGAATCCGAAGCGCACGCAGAAGCACCCCGCCACGTTTCAGTGCACGCTGTGTCCGAAGCGCTTTACTCGAGCATACAACCTCCGGTCGCATCTGCGCACGCACACGGACGAGCGTCCCTTTGTCTGCAGTGTTTGCGGCAAAGCCTTTGCCCGTCAGCACGACCGCAAGCGACACGAGGGGCTGCACTCTGGCGAGAAAAAGTTTGTGTGTCGCGGCAATCTCAAGGATGGCAGCAGCTGGGGTTGTGGGAGGCGCTTTGCCCGCGCTGACGCTCTGGGCCGCCACTTCCGATCTGAAGCTGGCCGTGTATGCATTCGGCCCTTGTTGGAGGAGGAGGCACGCGAAAAGGGCGAATGGAATGGGCAGAACCAGCAGATGAACAATGGCAATGGCATGTTTGCACCGATGCACACGCAAAACTTTGGCAACATGGTACCTGGCCAGCCGGGCTTTGACCCGTTTGCTCAGGCGGGCGGCATGCAGGCACCGCAGCAATTCTTGCCGGCAGCTCTCCTGGCCCAATACCCCGCGCTTGCAGGTATCCAGTGGGACCAGCTTCCTGCAGGGCCACCTGACGAGGATGGCGATATTAGTGGACGGAGCAGTTTTGATGCTTCCAGTGGAGGCGAGTTTTACGAGGAGGAAAACGAGTTCCAGCAAGGCAACCAGCAGGCCATGTATGCCGGCGGCAACAACAATGGATGGGTCAGCGACTCGTATGACGGGCGATGATGATGTGTATGTATGGTTGTCCGACATGTTTCACTTTTCGTCTTTTCGGGGGGTTTGGCATTTGTCGGGAGCGGGGGACAAGATTTCGACGACTTTGTCACGCGTCCATGACCTGATTTTTTTTTTCTTTCTGCTTTTCACGCTGTAGCAGCTGCTTTGGTTGGAGCTGTTCACTTTCTGTCGCTTTCCCCCCCACGTTTTCCTCTGATATACCACGTTTCATTTGCTTGATTGCCCGCCAAAGCAAAAACAAAGGGTCTGTCTCTCTCCAATTTTATACCCCCGTGGGAACTTTTTTGATGGGTTTTGAGGACTTTGTTTAGGGAGTTTTATTTTTTTTCAAAGTCTTTAAGTTTTGTTTTCCATTTTTTTTTATTTATAACGGGCCAAGCAAAGGTGATGTATGGAATGGAATGGAATGGAATGGCGTTGATTTGGCGATGTAGATGGATTAGCAGATACCATACATAACTATACATAACGTATTCCACCACCGAGAGTGCCACCCCACCGAGAGTGCCACTTTTTCTTGGCATCGCGAACTTCACGTACGAAAGACAATGCCTCAACAACAGAACGTGATATTTACTCAGCAAGAGGGTAGGCTTACTCTAGCAGTTCAGGCCTATCGTACAGGCCAGTTTAAGAGCATTCGACGCGCTGCAGCAGCCTATAACGTCCATCATCAGCAGATCTCTCGGCGGCTTCAAGGAATCACCTTTCGACCTACGACGCAGCCAAATTGCCAGAAGCTAACTAAATCTGAAGAGCAAACTATCGTACGATACATTCTTGACCTAGACTCGCGAGGTATTTCGCCCCCCGTCTATGT